ACCAGACCTGGCTGTTACCAGGGCTCAGCACAGGCATCCTCTGCTTTGTGGTGGCTCTTTGTTGGCCTTGAAAGGAGAAAGCACCCGGGAAGGGGCAGCCAACCCCTGCCTTGAGCACTGCAGCACTGCTGAGGGGCAGCCCCCAGTATGCAGCCCTCCCCCAGCTTGTGCTCTCCCAGTACAAGGAGTGGGGACAGGGCTCAGCTCAGTCCCCAGAGGACACTGGCAGAGGTGGCACCGAGCCTGGGCAGTGGCCCCAGGGGAAGAAGGGAAGCAAGAGACAGGCAGCACCACAATAAAAGTACAAACAGACTTTATTTCAGCACAGATCCCACAGTTGAAAGCCCCTCCAGACACAAGGTTGCCCTGCCCAAGTGAGGAGGGGGCAATCCCCAGGCAAGGGGCAATGCCAAGGAGAGGAGGAAGGATGGGGGGAGTGAGGTGCCAGAGCAGGAGCTTTCCTCATCACCCACAGGAGTGCAGGCCTTGCTCCCTACCCCTAGCCATATCCAGGACTGGTGATGGGGTTTGGGATGCCTAGCAGGGCCCAGACTGCTGGAAAGGGCCAGAATAAGCCCCAAGAGTGACTCTGGACACCAATGTGGGAGGAGGGGAGAGGAAGCAGCAGTGGTGGCAGGATTGGCAGGCTGCAGGACCAACATGGCCCCAGGGGAGGCAGGTCTTCCCTCCCCATCCCTGCCCCGAACCCCAGGGGTGTCTCCCTGCCCATGGGCTGGGGTCAGAGTGGCTGAGGGAGCCAAGAAAGAGCCAGAGGTGGCAGCTGCAGAACCATGGGAGCCCTTTTATTGCACAGCCAAGCAGGGCATGGCCCCCTCCTCTGGCCCAAGGGGCAAGGGAGGCAAGAACCTACCCCAGAGCTCAGCCTGACCCAGCCAGCACAGGACAGGGGTCAAAGGGGGCCTGGGGGCAGGAGGGGGCCCCATCATGTCCCCTCTGCTCCCACACAGAACCTGCAGCCGGGGCTAGGGCAGGGCTAGGTCCCAGACAGTCCAGGCTGGGTGGATGAGGAAACAGAGGCCACATGCCATGGCAGAGGACTATGCCCAGCTCAGCAAGGCACTTCTGCTCCCCGTGGAACACTCCAGCCTTCACCCAACCCTCAGGGAGAGCCTATCCCAGGAACTAACGGAGCCAAGGGTGCATTTTGATCCCTCGGAGAAGCAGAGGAAGGGGTGAGGAGGCAGTAGACATAGGAAGGCAGCAACGGGCAGGAGAGCCAGGGCAGCACGGCCGTGCCGGTGCTGCAGGCACTGCCTGCACAGCCTGGCCCAGTCCTCTCCCCATCTCCTGCCAAAGGGGGTCCCCAGCCCCGAGGGGCCAGGGCCTGTCTCTGCTGGGCAGCTCTGCATCACGTCTGTGCCAGCGACAGCTCCTCCAGGCCCTCCTTCCCCAGCCGGTACCTGGCCAGGTCCTTGCGGGTGACCATTCCCACCACCTGCCAGGGAAGGGACAGGGCACGGCCTGAGGTGGGCACACAGAGCCTGGAGACAAGGGCAGCATGTCCCTGTCTCCCCGGGGAGCTCAGGCTGCTCTGACACAGCAAGGGACTCACCTCGTTACGATTGTCCACGACCACCAAGTGCCGCAGTCCCAGGGCTCGGAAGAGCTTGAACACCCGTGGCAGAGATGCCTCCTGCAGGGCAGAGCAGGGCTGTGGGGGCTGCAGCACCCCCAGCCAGCACCCATCGCCCTCCCAGGACCCCCAGGGTGCTGGGCAGAGGGGTCCTGGCCATTACCTGGGGCACAGTGTAGGGAGAGGGGTTCATGAACTCGCTGAGGTCGATCATGCACTCGCGCTCGTCCTGGGAGACGTGGATGGACTGGATGGGGGGGAAGCGGGGGTAGGCATCCCGAAAATCCTTCAGCTTCAGCCGCCGCTGCACCAGGCTCAGGTTGGCCCTTTCCACAAACACCTTGGGAGGAACGAGATGGTTGAGGACTGTCCTGCAGAGCTCACAGGCACCAGGACAACGCACAGGGGCCAGGAGGGAAGAGGGCAGGAGCATGGGGCAAATGGACCATTTGCAGCAGCACAGCCTGTTTCCCACTCACTCGGGGTTTGTGAGGCCAGTGGGGTGCAGGATGATGCTGGAATAACTCCAGCACGGCACGGCAGCCCCCACTATCTCCTGAGGTGAGACAGGTGAGCTGAGGGAGATGACAAGGACCCTCTTCCAGCTCCTCCCAAGCAAGGCAGGACACAAGGGGTCTGAGGCACCAGTGGGACATGGGCAGCAGGGCTCAGACATGACCCAAACGGCCTCCACGCAGCATCACCCACCTTGTGCTTCAGCAGGACGATGAGCTGGGAGCGCAGAATCAGACCCCGCAGTCCAGCCACCTGCGACACAGCACCGTGTGTGAGACAGGCTGGGAAGGTGAGGATCCCACACTGCCCCCTACGTGGCCACCCCACAGCTGTGCCCCCTTCCCAAGTGGCACCCAGCCCACCTGTGTGGTGTCAGGGTTGCTCTCCACCACGGGGAAGCCGTTGTGGTTGGAGGAGGTGTCACTGAGGATGTCCACGACGGTGCCCACCCGCTCGATCCTCCGCAGGCAGGTGACAGGAGTGCTCATGACCTCCCTGCAGGGAAGGCTCCAGTGAAACACAGCCCCAGGGCAGCACACACAGAATCATGGAATCACAATGGTTTGGGCTGGAAGGGACCTTAAAACTCATTTCATTCCATCCCCTGCCATGGGCAGGGACACCTTCCGCTATCCCAGGTTGCTCCAAGCCCCATCCAACCTGGCCTTGAACACTTCCAGGGATGGGGCAGCCACAGCTTCTCTGGGCAACCTGTGCCAGGGCCTCATGATCCTCACACCCTAAATATCCCTCCCAACACAAGCTAAACTCAG